GGACTAGGTCTTATTTAAGCAGAGAAGGAAAGCAACCACTATTGGTATTGTACTGTCACTGTCTTCTGCAGACTGAGAAAAGTAGCTGGGTCAGATTTCCCATAGGTTCTTTCTGCAGTTAGTGGAAATGTGTTTTCTTTATTAAATGCCACAGTTTTTTATCTGTAGAGAAGACTTTTTAGTGTTTCAAGTTCACCTTCATCCCAGCAGGTATAGAGGAGATAATTGGTACCGGGTAAGGTTTGTCCTTTATGATGTGCATAAAACATCCACACAAAAAGCTGTTTTGAATTGGCAAAAAAAAATTACTGTACTAGAAATGTAAATTTGACTGTTCTCAGTCACAACTCATATTTATTTGCTTCTTTCTGATGAATGAAGTTTTTCTTTTCAGACAATCAAAGGAAAACAAGAAAGAGGTTTCTGATAATTTTTGGAGCTTTAGTTCTCTTGTATGGGAGTGTTCTTTTGACTGGATGACCACCATTTAATAAAACTATGACAGTGCAGGAGAGGTCAGAATATGTCAAAGGGGTCAGCAGATGGGGAGCACTCAAAGGAGAACAAGACACACCATTTCTTGTATCTGATCATAGGCCATGAACATGACCTGCAGCACTACAACTATTCCAACAGTGTACACTGATTGCCAGTGTGGCTCAGCAGCATTGAAAGATGTTTTATAAATTACTGCCATTTAAAAGTATGGAGGCCAGTTGCTTTTCTCTCAGTTCATTTATTTTACATCTTTTAGATAGAAACTTGCAGTAGTATAAAATCTATGCCTAAGCCAAAAGTATCCTGGCTTCAAGCACAGCAAGTAACAACTGCTGAAGGAGGTGGCTCTTCCCTGTAAACTTTCCTAGCCTTCATTCATTTGCAAGATTATTCAAAGCAGTGCAAGTAAAATCTATTAATGCAAAAAAGAGGATTCTTTTTCATTACTTACATTAAAGACCTGTGACATATTTAAGCCTGAATGGGATATCTCTGAGAGATTTTTAAACTAATGTCAGAAATGCTTAAAATAGAAGAACTTTTAAGAGTGGATATTCAAAATTGTGCAAACATTAAAAGTCAACCATTTGGTTATGTAAGTTCTAAAAACAATTTCATTTTTGCTCTCAGAAATTATTAACTAAATACTCAGCTATGGGGACAGGTACTCCGTCAATTTTCATTTGTTCAAAGAGAAATTATACCTACCCATTCAGACTAAAATTACTATCCAAAGTACATCCAAAATTCAGTAAAATACTGGGCAACTTCCCTCAAATAATTTAGCTAATGGAAAACAAAATCCCTGAAGTGGAGAAGAGTAAACCCTAGTAGACACTTGATACATACTGTAGTGTCAACAAAGGGATGAATTTTCCCTTATGCCAAGGCTGAGAATAGAAACACAGTAATAGCAAGAAAATGCTGAAAGGAAGACATTAAAAAATTTCAGGAATAAAGAAGCCAAATTTCCTGAGCTTTGCAGCATGCCGTAAAGGGCTTATGTGCTAACTTCTATCCAAGAATACTGAAACAATTAGACAACCATCCAAATGAATAATTTTTGCTGATTTTTACCAAATACTACAGTGCTGGGGAATTCTAATGGGCTGGGAAGATGCTACTATTGTGCCAGAAGTTGTTTCAGAGAGCATCTTGGGAATGAATAGGTGCTTTTGCTGATCTTGTTCCAGAGAAAATCATGAAAAGTGCATAATGGAAAAGCATTTTGCATGGTAAATGAAGGTCAGACAACATCATTACATCAAAAATAATTGTTGCCAGATGTCTGCCTTTTCTGACACTGTCAGGTTGCTTGGTGGGAGAACTACAAGGACATATATATCCATACGTGGCATTTGTGATACACTTGATGTTGCCCTATGCTGAAGTACGTAAGGTTGTACATGAAGAACATGATCTGCTGCTGCATCAGCAGAGGAATATCATATAGGATAGTTCTAAGTACTGTCTGTAAAATTAGTGAGAGCTCTTTTCAAATTAAAAAATATTCAAAGCAGAACTTCAAGAATGACCTGAGGTTGAAAAAAGAACTAGTAAGGAGTAAATACAGAAGTTGTGCCTACCAAGAAGTTTAACATGTTGCTTCTGCATCTGTCTGAAGTGTTTGTACAAGAGACATTTTTAATAATTAGGAAGTTGTGATCTAAACGGAAAAGAAGCAAAAATTTTTTAAAAGGGTTGTAACCTGAAAAAAACCACCAGAAATAAAAATTACATTTTCGTTTAACAGTTTAAGTAACTAACCCTCTGAACTGCTCAGGAGCATGGCTGTACATTTTCAAAAATGCCAGACATTAAGGTTTGCTGTAGAGAGCCACAAAGATGCTCCAAAGCTGGGAAAAATTAGTATTTGGATACTGAAATGAAACGTTAAAGCTGCACAGTGTCCCAATTGTATTGCCGCAGTCCTGCATTTACAGGTAATTTCCACAGCCCTTCTCCATGAGCTCTTTAAATAGGTCTGAGTTTCTCAGCTAGCCCACTTTATGAAGAGTATTAAATTCAAACAGGGGGTATTAATTAACATGTAGTGCATTCAGCAGTTTGCATTGCCTCAATTATGAGTGAAGAAGGGGTGGCAGCCTGAAGGAGCACACTCTTGAGTCTTCAGACATGTGGGTTTAGTTCTCTGTTCTTTATCAAGTTTTCCATATGACACTCACAGCAGTAATTGAAGGGAAAATCTCAATACCTGCCCCGTCTAAGGTTTTGCAAACTCATAACTTTCTGGTTCATCCAAGCTCATGTCCAGAATTCTGTCCAATCATGTCATTAAAATGGCAGAGCAAAAAAGTGCTGTGGGGGTGAAGTAGTCTTTCGGTTTTCTTTTAAACAACCATATCATAAAAACTGAAATCAGAATTAGACAGGTCTCAACCTCTTCTCGTTAGTGATCCACAAAAGGCATTTACTGTTAGGAGCACAATCTATTGTGCCTAATATAGCACATGCTTTCTTGATCCTAACAACCCAAAAGTCATTGCTATTTGTGTTCAGAATGAAAGCTGAAGCTTGCAGAGGGCCCTCTCACATCTGAAAAAAGGCCCTCACATCTGAGCCTGTGAGTGCCTCATCTTGGAGTAAGAGTGAACCAGGTTTGGCTTGCACGTCCACCTGCAGGAATTCAGCTGCATGTGCCCAATACCAGGACATCTCCAGATGTCTGGAGATCAGACTCCATTACACTCTGCAGTGAGAGACAAGCCCAGCAGCTCTGTCTGATGCTGATTGTCATTGCAGAGCAAATTACCTTCATGTAACAGAGCTAGCTCAACATTACAGGTTATGTAGCTCAGCAGCAATGTCTATACAGGAAAAAAGCCTTTTCCACTAACTGAAAAATCCTGAAAAGTCTCTGGAGTTAAGATCTAGATGTTTTCTTTTTATTTTCTTTCTTTTTATTTTTCAACATATAGCCAAATATACCTTTTTATTTGCTGTATGAAAGCAGTGGCTAAAAGCAAGGCGTGCACAGGACCCTGTAGTTAGCTCAGGGAAAGCTCAACCACAAAAGAAGACAGCATTTAAGGGCCAGTCAGTGCTGGATCTTTGGGACTCCAGTCAAAAGTACTTGGCCTTTTCTGTGAACAGTATTAGCAAATCAGGTGCCTATTTCAGCACTGTAGGTTCCTCTCTGGCAGGGTGGTACCCAAGGAACTTCCTGGGACTAGTCCTGTGCTCTCTCCTAAGGGGCCAGAGGCCAAATCAAATGTCAGCTCTGATATCACATCAGCTGGACTATGGGCTCCGCAGTTCTGGTGTGCAGTATCTTGGCTGATGGGATGTACAATTCCACTTGGCTTAACTTGTTCTGCAAAGAGGGTTACATCATATCAATTTGAATTTTTTTGTCAGCTAGGAGCACACACTGGGTCCCTACTGACTCAAGGTAACTTTACTGGGAAGTGTCCCTTAGCAGATTTCCAGGTAGGGTACAGGCATCACAGCGAATTCAGGCTGAGTTGCAATGTCAGAGGCTGAATGCAAGATCACAGAGTGGGTTGGGTTGGAAGGGGCTTTAAAGACCATCTAATTCCAACCCCCTTCCATGGGCAGGGACACCTTCCATGCTACCGTGTTGCTCAAAGCCCTATCCAACCTGGCCTTGAACATTTCCAGGATCCTCTGGAGCTGCACTGATGGAAATGGCATTATTTCATATCAAATAGATTTTCTCTTTCCTAGACACAAACCTTACAGAATGATGCAGTCTTTTTTTGTTGTTCTTTTGTTGTGTGTTTTTTTGTTTTGTTTTGTTTTTTGTCAGAGTAACATGCTTTACAGAGGTATTTGGTGTACTTACCTAGGTCTGTAAAATACCTTCAGGCGATCTGAGAGCAAGATGCAGTAGAAGTAGGGGGGGAAAAAATTTTAACAGATACATTTTTTGCCAAACTATTACACATCTGCTTACAGGGAAAACTGTTATTCCACCAGTACAGCAGTTTTATGTGTAGTTATTTCAAAATGAACTCTAATCATTGTTATGTACATTGTTATGTACAAGTGAGTGAACTGTTCGTGGAAGTCATACATGCACAATTCCAAAAGTGCATGCTTGTAAGTCCTACGATGCTCATGGTTGCCACTATATATTTTATTTGCTGGGATTGCTCTAAATCCTGAAAAGAATATGAATAATTCAATGTACATTGTAAACCATAAACCAAATTTGCAATGAAATTGAATTTTTTTTTCTCTGCAGTCCAGCTTTCTGTGGATCAACTGTGCAGTAACAGGCTTCTTTTTTGGGGGGGTTGGGGTGGGGGGGAGTTTGTTTGTTTGGGTTTTTGTTTTTGGGGTATTTTTGGGGTTTGTTTTTTTGTTTGTAAAAGTGTATTAATGACAAAACTAGGCTCTTAAACCACTGCCTCTGGCATCAGTCGCTCAAACATAGCTGTGTTGCACTTTTTAGCAACCAAATTAATTCCACATGAAGAGAAAAACTATTCATTCTTTTCCTTTTTCAAACTTTGCAGACGTCTTGCAGGAAATGGCTTGACATACATTCCTAAGGGAGCATTTGCTGGCCTTTTCAGTCTTAAAGTGCTGTAAGTAAACTGTGTTGTTTGATATATTTCTGATTTCCTTAAATGCTCTAGGGGACTAATTAACCAGTGAAGTTTTGATCAAGTAAATTACATATTTTGATCAGCTCATTTTGAACAATTCAATTGAAGATACATATGAACACCATTAAATCTTTGTTTTTTTCACATAGAAAGTATCCTAAACAAAATTTGGAAAACATTAATGGCATTCTAAAAACAACTTGCTCATCAAGTAGATGTGTCTGTACAATATCAAAGGTACAAACTGATTCAGTTAATAGTTTCTTTAATTATCTCAAAAGTACTGATTTCAGCTGAACTTTTCATGATCACACAAAACTGGGGATTTCCTTTTCTTGAGAGACAAGGGGGGGAAAAACGGTATTGTAAACAACACAATGTAATTTAAAACACAATTCACATTTCATATATTGTTCTTTGCAGTGTAATGACTATTAGATAAATTATTAAAAATATTACAAAACCCTGTATTATTTGGAGTAATATGACAGGATGTATACTTAATAAAATTACTAGCAGGCTACATCTCACAATGTTTACACAAGGAGGGATCTTTGCCTGTGTAAAGTTCACAAAAACTGTATTATTAGCAGGGACCAGCAGCCTCCTAGGCAGTGTCAAGCCAGGCCTGATGCTACTGTACAAATCTCTACTGAAAAAATACTTACCAGGAAAAGAAGCATGAAGAGATTCCCACTCCATCTACTTCTAAGTTGGCGAGCTCTAACTCTTGTTGGCCTAAGCAGATTTAGGCCTGCCAAAAATTATTTCATTTACAATGTCCCATTGAATATGCCTCCTTTTGAAGGCAGCATGTACTACTTTAGATTTAGCCACATAGAATATTTATAGATGTAGTTGGTCCAAACAAGGATGTTAGGTAGTGTCAATGAAGCCATATTCAAAAGGAGGAAAATATTCTATAGGAGTGGAAGGTGATTTTTCAATCTTTGCAAGGAAAATGATGTGATATTTCAGAAAAAAGATTTGTCAAGTCATTGCTAGCAACCTTTGGTTTGAGAAAATTTATTTTCCTTAAAAAAATAAAAGCAGTTTATTTATAGAAATAAAATTTTATTCAAACTAAATCGTAAATTCCTCACACAGTTAAGAGTTAATTTGCCATTGTTGCATTTTCCTGAGTAAGGATTTCAAGGGTCAGTCCTTCACAGTTTCATCAGAAGAGAATCACTCCAGAGGGACAATAATATCAGTACACGAGAATGAAAATTTCAGAGTCACTGGAGGCAATTAGGCGGTTATAAGCCCTATTGAAAGCAAATCGGATTTATTCTTTTAACTTCCTTAGCTGCTTTGAAAATCCTGCTTAAAGCTGATGCCTAGCTGTTAACAAAGGTAATATGCTACAGGTATTTGTTTGCTTTGAAGAGAGCGGGCCTTTGACAGGGGCAGGGGAATGGACTATTAGTGTAACTTTATTTGTAATCTTGAAGTAGGACCAGTACAAAGAATGTAAGCTTGGAAGAAAATTTGCAGTAGAAAGAAATGATCTTTGCTTTTGTGCTACTCAAAATGTAGGATGCTGCAGAATAACCAGCTACGCCAGGTTCCTACCGAAGCACTCCAGAACCTGCGCAGCCTGCAGTCTCTGTGAGTATTCCTGATTAATCAATTTGAAACCTTGCATGAACATTAATATACAATTACCTAATAATTATATGTTAATATTACTTTGTAATGTGCTGGATCAAACTTTTCTTTTAATTCTCTTTGAGCTGCTTTTCGAGAGAATTGTGCTCTCAATTAAACATCAAAAGTAGTTGATTTCATTCCAGTAGTTTCATGACACTGGCAGCCTCTTTGTGGTGTTATAGACAGGTTCAACCTCTGAGAAGACACTCCTTGGCCTGCAATGTTTTCTGCCAAGAACATGATTTCTTGTTAGTATTCTTTACCAGGGAAGAGAAGGAATCCCAAATTACTCCCTTCCTTTTTTTTTTTTTTTTTTT